TGTTCTTTATGACAAAACGCAAAAGGCGATAAATGTCAACAAACGCAAAAGTCATGTATGCCCCCTCAATTACTGAACTTGTTTTAAAAGGTCGACTGACACTCAACAAAAAAAAAGAAAAAAAAGAAAAAAAAAGGACACTATGTCCTGAAAAGCACTCGAAACATTTTTGGTTATTTTTTTTTCTTTTCTTTTTTTTCTTCTTCTTCTTCTTCTTTGTTTTTCTCTAAATTCTCGAAAAATGAATTCTCCTTCTCTCACGAAGGAAACGGATAAATGGCTGAACTGACCTCCGGGCATGCGCATTAGTAAGAGATTTCATAGCGAATAGCTTATTTTTTTTTTTACTTTCATTTATTCATTGATTCATTTTTTTTTTTTTTTGAAATTTGTAATGGCATAACACTATATTAATTTAACATTCCCTTTAACTCTCTCCACATCTCTCTCTCTCTCTATATATATATATATATATATGTGTGTGTGTGTGTGCGTGCGTGTGTGCGCGCGTGTGTGTGTGTTTATGAGAAAGAGTCGACGTGTGCTTCATTTAGTTTGTAAAATAGCGTAGATAAGTTGCTTAATAAGACAAAGCCAAACGTCAGGGTAACGATGTAACCAGCACGAAAAATATTTACTAATATTAACCACATGGTAGAAATGAAGCACGGAGATTAAAGTTCCAAGTTCGGAATTTTCGGACACGCCTGTTCTTCGTGGTTACACGTAATAAAAATAGAAGTGTCCTCGAACGAGCTAAATCTCCGTTTACTGAGAGAATAAGGCATCATATTGCATCTAACAACTTTAGCTCTCGTGATTACTGGAGACTCTGTAATTGTATATTAAATAAGAATAAGTTTTCTAGTTTCCTCTCTTCAGTCAATTTGAGGTATAAACATCTACTGATAAAGCTAAATGTTTCACTATTACATTCTTCATAAAGTCTACTCTTGACTCATCTGGAGTATCCTTGCCCCCTAGAACTGTCTTTGTTGAGTGATATATATATGGTTTCTATCATCACTAATCTGTATCCCCACATAGCATATGAAGCTGATGGTATCTCTGTAATAGCCATTAAGACGTGGGATCCAGAGCTGGCTCCTGTTTTCTCTAAACTGTATAATAAATGTCTCGCTGCCTCTTGTTTTCCTGCTTGTTGGAAATCCTCATCTGATGTTCCAGTCTTTAAGAACTCAAGTGGACAGTTCAGCCCTTTCAACTATCGTCCTATTAGCCTTCTATCTCTTTTTGGCAAAATACTAGAAGCCCTAGTCAATGATGGATTGGTTAAGCATCTCACATCGCAGGGCCTTGTTTCAGACAATCAATATGGCTTTCATTTCTCGAGGTCAACTGCTGATGTATTAACAATTATCAGGGAACGAATCTATGACGATTTAGATAAGAATTGAGAGGCTCGAGCTGTTGCCGAGCTTTAATAAGTAAAACTAAAATCAAAGTAAACTAAATCAAAAATTCGTCTGGAGACACTGTAACTTTTCAACTTGCGAAGAAGACCCAAATGCCAAACCTTGTCGAACGCTTTCGAGATGTCTAATGCAACAGTCCGAGCTTCAACATTCTCTGCCGCTATAGCCCACAGGAAACACAATGACAACTTTCATGTTACGATTTGATAAGTCAGGCGGTATCTACCAACTGTTCCACGCAGTCAGATGTGACACAAAGCCGAATTTAATGTGGGGTTGAAAGTTGTCATGAACGGTCACACTTCTCGATCCGTCTCCACTAATACAGTTGTCCCCCAGGGCCTTATCCTTGGTCCCACTTTGTTTTTAATTTTCCTTAACGATGTTATGTTGATGGCACAACCATTTACTGCTGTCTTGATACTAAATTATGATAAGGTCAAATTGGCGGCTGATTACAAAAACGGCCTGTTAACTGAGGCAAAGAATGTCTTGTTATTTTTACGCCTAAACTAAACTGCTCCCTAATCATTTGAGAGAACCCTTTCTACCTTTAATCAGCATAGCTGATACTAATCTCCAGGAGAATGACTTGCTGTGCCTTCTCGGGTTAACATTCTCAGCTGACAAGAAATGGAAAAACTATATTGAATCTATTGCTAGGTCAGTTACTAACAAAGTTAGTTCACTGCGTCGTACTCGACAATTTTTCTTTCCTGAATCTATCTTACATATCTATGAGTTTACCATTCGTTCATTGCTTAGAATATTGCTGTTAAATAAGTAAAATATTTTTCTTTAATAAGATTTCTCAAATATTCAGACCGGTAGACGAAAATAAATAAATATACTGTTTAATAAATAAATGGAGCGTCTATTCAAACATGAGTATCAACGAGATAATAATGTTTAAAGTGATATATATATATATATATATATATATATATATATATATATATATATATATATATATATATATATATTTATGAAAGACATTTTATGTTTAACGTTCTTTTTTATAGATACAAGTATTTAAGTAAATGCTCTGTTTATATTAAACAGTATTAAATAACATTTACTGGCCTGAATGTCCGAGAAATTTTCATTGAAAATATTCGTCCTTTTTCTATGACATTCAGACCGGTAAGTGTTATTTAATACTGTTTAATATAAACAGAGCATTTACTTAAATACTTGTATCTGTAAAAAGGACGTTAAACATAAAAATGTCTTTTAATAAATAAATTGTCGGACTTTGTCCATTTCTTAATGTATATATATATATATATATATATATATATATATATATATATATATATATATATATATATATATATATATATACATACATATATATATATACATATATATATATATATACATATATATATATATATACATATATATATATATATATACATATATATATACATATATATATATATATATATATACATATATATATATATATATATATATATATATATATATATATATATATATATATATATATATATATATATATATATATATATACATATATACATATATATATATATATATATATATATATATATATATATATATATATATATATTTTGTCGTCTCGTTTAAATTAAAAGATACCAAAATTTTTATTATTGTTTTAATTATCATAACCTGTCATGATACAAGCAATCCTCGCTTATTTGAGAAATCTTATAAAAGGAAAATATGCATCCTCGGGCAGTATTTTCTTTCATATGATTTCTCGAATATTCAAGCTGCTAGATAAATATACTGTTTAATAAATATACACTAAAAATGACGTTTAAAATTCTAAAAAATATATACACTTCTGCAATACAATTTTAATATGTTGTAACCAGAAAATTTTGTCAAAATTCTGCTGTTATATTTTTAGCTTTATTTTTGTAAATTATATTTTTGCTATCAAAGCAAGAATTTTTAAACTGGACTACGATATAGTATCGGTCATCCAATATGTTCAGTGAATACTGTAATATCTCTTCACAGATGAAGAAGAGATTTGAAGCAAGAGAAGTATGGCCCACAGAAAGATGCTGAGAATACCATGGACTGAATATGCGAGAGAATATGGAAGGAAAAAGGACTTATACTTAGATTTAGAGAGAGGCAATTGAAATTTCTAAGGCTCCTAGTGAGGAAAGAGGGCTAAGGAAATTTGACACTCAGAGAACATGCGGAAGATAAGAGGGGTAGAGAAAAGTGGTTCATAAAATATCAAACGAGTTTGTGTCAGTGGTTGGCAGAACAGGGATTACGAGAGATAGCGAAAAAACGAGTTTTACTAAGAGCTACAAAAGACTTGAAATTTTCAAGACCCATGATCATCTGTTTTCTGAAAGGGACACTGCATATAGAAGAAGAAGAAGAAGAAGAAGAAGAAAAAGAAGAAGAAAGAAAGAAGAAAAATGAAGAAGAACAGAAGAAGAAAAAAAGGAGAAAGGAAGAAAAAGAAAAGAAGAAAAAAGAAGAAGAAAAGAAGAAGTAGAAGGAAAGAAGAAGAAAAAGAAAAGAAGAAAGGAAAGAGAAGAGAAAGGAGAAAAGAAAGAAAAGAAAGGACGAAGAATAGAAGAAGAAGAAGAAGAAAAAGAAGAAGAAGAAGAAGAAAGGAAGAAGAAGAATTAAAAGGAGAAAGGAAGAAAAAGAAAAGACGAAGAACAGAAGAAAAAAGAAGAAAGGAAGAAAAAATAAAAGAAGAAGAAGAAAGGAAGAAGAAGAAGAAGAAGAAGAAGAAAGGAAGAAGAAGAAGAAGAAAGGAAGAAGAAGAAGAAGAAGAAAGGAAGAAGAAGAATAAAAAAGAAGAAAAGGAAGAAAAAGAAAAGACGAAGAACAGAAGAAAAAAGAAGAAACGAAGAAAAATAAAAGAAGAAGAAGAAGAAAAAGAAGAAGAAGAAGAAGAAGAAAGGAATAAACAGAAAAGAAGAAGAAAGAAGAAAAAGAAATAGAAGAAGAAAAAAAAGATGAAGGAGAAGCACATATGCAATCTATCGTCGAGGCAATTTTTTGTCAAGTTTCTAAATTGACTTCGATCGACCATCTTAATTTTAACATGAAAAAATATTTATTTAGACTAACAAAAATTATCGCGAAGTCACTTTGTCTGTAATTAAGTCGGTACGTTAATTATAAAAGGTCGTGTAGCACTTAGAATCTATTAATTTTGTTTAGACTGCAAAAAAATAGAAATTCTGTTTCGAGACGCCACCATTTGCTGACAATGTTAGAATTTATATTGTAGATTTATTGCACACACGGAAACTAGGATTTCTTTAGAAAAATGTTAACGAACAAGGAACGAACAACCAAATATTGCATATTTCATGCGCATTAATAGCGAGAAACTTTTTTATATTTAACTCCGCTTCGAATAAGGAAAAAAGATATTCTTCCTAAAAAAGACTTAATTGAAATGCTTTTTTTAATATTTTCAATATTAGTATTTTAGATTTAATTAGTTTTCTCTTTTTAATATCATGTTCCGTCAGAATGTAGATAATCAAGGCTTTCCACAGCTTCCTTTCTTTTATTATGCGTGACTTAGATAGATAGATAGATAGATAGATAGATAGATAGATAGATAGATAGATAAGAACTGAGATAACTGGCTCCTGTTCTCTCTAATTTTCCAATTTTTTCCCCGGGTACCGATTTGTGCTGACATATCTGCAAGTTGAGCTATCCGAGGTTTTCCAAACGAGTACTACTATATATATATATATATATATATATATATATACTCGACTCTCCCGTCGAATTCGACGAATGCGGGTGAAGAAGATCAGTTCCCAGGAAACTGACAGCCCGACAACAGCACATGAGATTTGATTATAGTGGTGAAGATTTCGTGCAGGACCATCCACACTTTTTGAAGGGCCGAATACAGAGACCTGGTGCACTAAATGCCACAAGGTCCCCAAACGACCCTCCGCAGATTTTTTGAAATATATATATATATATATATATATATATATATATATATAATATCACACAATGAGTGCTGATGTTAATAACGTAGTGTTTGATACAATATAACAGTGCTATAAACTGTATATTAATTAAGAGAAAGAAAGAAAGAAAGAAAGAAAGAAAGAAAGAAAGAAAGAAAGAAATGAACTGAGATAACTGGCTCCTGTTCTCTCTAAACTGTATTGTAAATGCCTTACCGTCTCCCGCTGGAAGTCATCATCTGTTGTTTAAGTTCTGGTGAGCCGTCCGACCCTTCCAACTATCGGCTTATTTCTCTTCTACCTCTTTTCGGAAAATCCAAGAGGCTGTAATCAATGTTGAATTAGTTCATCATCACTTATAGTAAGGCCTTCGCCCGGACAAATAATATGACTTTCGTTTCTCCAGGTCAACTGCTGATGTACTGACGATATTTTCGGAGAGAGTTTATCATGCTCTAGATAAAAATGGTGAGTCTTGAGCTATTGCATTGGACATCTCGATAGCCTTTGACTGTCATTCAGATCTCCATAAGCTGAAAACTTACGGAGTCTCCGAACACTTTTTTTTTTAATTGATCCAGTCTTTTCTTTCAAATCGTGAAATGAGAATTTTCTTGAACGGCCACTCGTCTAGATCCTTTCGTACTAACGCAGGTGTCCCCCGGGGTCCCATCTTTGGTCCTACCCTATTTTTGATTTTCATTAATGACCTTCCTGATGACATCAGGTCTCAACTTGGTATTTACGCTGACGATACAGCAATTTTCCCTTGCCTCGATAGTTAGGCTTGATAAGATGAAAATTGCCGCCGATGTACAAAACGATTTCCTGGAGTTAACTGGGGCAAAAGATAGCTTGTTAATTTTAACGCCCCCAAAATTAAACTTCTCTCCATTTATCCCCCGAGAAACCCCTTGCAACCTTCCATCGGCATGGCTGATGCTACCCTCCAGGAAAGTGACACTTGCATCTTCTCGGGCTCACGTTCTTTGCTTATATGAAATGCAACAACTATACTGAATCCATTGCTAGGTCAATTGCTAAAAAAGTCTGTTCACTATGTTGGGTGAGAAAATTGTTTTACTGTTTTACATATCTATAAGTCTACCATTCATCCATGCTTAGAATATTGCTGTCGCATATGGTTCGGTGCCCCTCCTATTTACCTTGAGCTCCTTGAGCACCTTGATAAGATTCAAAGAGGAATCTGCAATATTATTGGTCCTGATGTGGCGCCTCAGCTCCAGTCACCTTCCCACCATTTTAAGGTTGCCTATCTAAGTCTTTTCTATTAATACTTTCATGGTAATTGTTTGGATAAGCTATTCGCTATGGTACCTAAACATTTTGAATTTAATCGACTGGCGAGTGGTATTTCATCAATTTACATTTGAGCTGGCTAGATGTAACCGTAAATTCTATGCTAACATTTTCTTCTCTTGCATTTCTCGCTTCTGGAACTCCCTTCTGGATCCATACTTTCCAGCCAATTTTAATATTGAAAAATTTAAAATCAATATCAATCGCTATCTACTGATTACTCTTTTCTGTTCCCGCTCATTAGTAATGCCTCTGTTCCTAATACTTTCACAACCTGTAACTTATTGTGGCTTTACTGACATGCTTGGGGTAATTCCAATTAAACAGAAAAGATAGGTAGGTAGGTAGATAGATAGAAAAGGACATATAGAGTGATAAATAGATATGTAGATAGAAAGATTTGAATAGGATGAGATAGATAGATAGATAGATAGATAGATAGATAGAAAGAAAAAACATATAAATAGGTAGAGTTATAAATCAATAGATATGTAGATAGATAGATTTGAATAGGCTGATATATATATATATATATAGATAGATAGATAGATAGATAGATAGATAGATAGATAGAAAAGACATATAAATAGAGTGATAAATAAATAGATATGCATATAGAGAGATTTGTATAGGTTGAGATAGATAGATAGATAGATAGATAGATAGATAGATAGATAGATTGGTCTGTGTAAAAAAATGCCAAATGAAAGTTTCGTACTTACCTGTTTATTCGCAAGAGAGAAAATTGCACTAGCGACATAACGATAAAGTTTTTTTTTCTACGAATTCATCTCTTTACAAGCTTACATATATATACATGCACACACACACGCGCACACAAACACACACACTTACGTATAGAAAGAGAGAGAGAGAGACGTACGCATTTGTGAGCAGACATTATGTGCATGTATAAATACGTATGTGCTGAAATTTGGTGAATTTACGCCAATCACCTTATTGCATTCTATATGGGTGAGTCGATAGCATTCACTCTGTACGAAGTTGACTTCTGACACTGATTTGATATTCTTTTGTTATGCCGTTAATCTTATCATGCGGTGACTTTTCACAACAAAAACCTAATTAGACATATACACGTACGCAAAACACACATATGTTATATATATATATATATATATATATATATATATATATATATATATATATATATATATATATAGTCTTAAGATGTGCTATATTTATGGGATAAAGTGCTCAATATCAGAGATAGTCCGTGTAAATATAAAAGTGAACATATACACTTAGAGGCGACAGTCTGTTTCATGCTGGATTCAATCGTCAGGCCACGAGTGCTGTTATTTTTCTCGGTTATTTATATATACGGGTCAGTGGTGCATTGTGGGTAGTCTATTTTGGCGGTTATTTTAGCGGAAGTCGTCTATTTGTTTATTTATTTATTTGGGTTAAATTGTTTTGCTTGTTTTTATTTATTTTTATTTTTTATCTTTATTTTTATTTCTTATCTTATATATTTATTTTTTTTTTTATTTTTTATTAGTCAATGTTTTTATCAACATAGTAAAATTAGTTTATGTCGTTTATTTAATAGTTTTGTTTTGGTTTGGGAAGATAAAGCTATTTATTCAAATTTGGGGTTGATTGTTGTAGTTTATTCTAGCTATTATTTTGGCGGGAACAGTTTTATATATATACTAACAACATGGCCTGGCGTTGCCCGTGCTTTATTCAAAAATCGTACGACTCATACAGCAACCGCTATCACTTGACTTAAAATATTTTTGCCCTTCCTTGCCTTTAAAGGAGTGCCCTTTGTCGTGCTGATGTTGCTACATGCCTTACTTCTTGCCTATCTCACACTGCGAATTTTTTCTAAGCTCTATACTAAACATTAAATCTGTTACGAAAAAAGAACTAAACAAAATGAACACAAAACGATCAGCTTTAAAAAACGACTCGTAACTTGAAAAACCGAATGAAAAAAGAATGTTAACAACAAATAATTTTTAACACCCAACCCAGTTCTGCGGAATCAGAATCAACGTCGAGTTTAATCAAGCGAATGAGCCAATTGGAGTAAAGTGACATGCAGATTTAAATTTTTCCCACTTGTGACGAATGCAGCTATCGATTTTCTTTGCATGCTAGTTAACATTCGTGTCAGTCAGCTGTTGGCTCTCACGCTTGCCAAAAGAATCTTCCTGCCTATTGGTGGCAGCCAGATATTGGCTCTCACTCTGGCCAGTAGAAAATGGCCGCAAACTACATGAAAACTGCCGTAGAAGCACGAAAAAATCGATTATTTCCACTATCGATGGGAGTTGGGAAATGCAACGTCAGTCTTGGACTTTCCGCTAACTTGGAGCATGTGCATGTAAATTTTGGTGCAAATCTGTCGAAAATTGCAGCCGTGCATTCGTTACACACACACACATTCTGCCTTATATATATATATATATATATATATATATATATATATATATATATATATATGCAGAATCCACCAAAAATAGTACATTTTAGAATTTTTCGTATGGGCACCATAAATGATGTATTACAGGAAACTGTCTACATATGCGGCCCTTAGACAAGAAACTAAAGATGTATGTTCAGTAAAACTACTGAAAACTTTTCCCAAACAGTAGTTCTCCGTACTAATATATATATATATGGTACCTAAAGGCCCCCATTTTCAGTATCACTTGATATATATATATATACATACATATATATATATATATATATATACATACATATATATATTTGTAGAGTCCAAAAGTAACTTGTATTAATCACGTTTTGTCTAAATTAATTTAATGTTTCAATATCTCTATTAGTTTTTTTTTCCTTTCATGAAATGTGTATACATATTGGGAATGGACTCTCTCTCTCTCACTTACTTTTCTCTCTCTCTCTCTCTCTATATATATATATATATATATATATATATATATATGGGGACGTGTGTGTTTTTATATATATATATATATATATATATATATATATATATATATATATGTTAAGTTCGACATTCCTACCAGTTGAAGAAGGCCGGAGCGTACAATGGCCGAAACGTTGTAATAAATATGGCGATAAAGAAGAGGACAATAGTCCGAATAATGTAAATAATGTATGAAATTTTTCTGTTTCTTAATATTGCGCTTAGAATTTGGAATTCATCTTTGGTCGTCCAAATATTCTTCGGGTCTGTATAGATCAATTTGCAAAAAATAAAAAAAAATAAAAATAAATAAAAGATAAAAAAACAAATAAAATAAAATGAAAACTAAATATTATCAAATGGACATCGAACCTTGAAACAATTCTAACATACAAAAATATGTTAATATTTGCAATCAAAAATATCGATTAAAATGAATTGATTAAAACTAATCTTGTGTAATGAGCAACATTTTTTAGATGAAGCATTTTTCATTATTCATTTTGTCAGGCTTTCCTTTTAAGTCAATTGTTGATTATTATGCAACTATATCGCCATCTTCCTTAACTCTGCTGCTTTATTGTCCTTACCTCACTTCTCCTTACTAAAGTCTTGCCATTCTCTTCTCTCTGTAAACCCTTGCGTCTTAATGGCATTATCGCCATCTTATGTCTTCCGGGAACCTGTTCCCTTATTTTCCTTACCTCACTTCCCCTCCCTAAAGTCTTCTTATTCTGCTCCACTCCCTGTTATCCCCTACGTCCTAGTGGCATTATCGCCTTGCTTGGGGTGAAATGATTAAAAAAAACAACAAAAAAACAAACTAGTGTACCCGTGCCGTCAGAAATTGCGTCAATTGTTTTAATTGTGAGGTTGTATGAAACAAAACTCTTGAAACAATGTATTGAAATTCAATAAAGTCTTGATGAATTTGTAACTAAAATAGAGGTTAATGAACCGCTTTAATTAATCTGTTTCCATTATATTATTTTGATATTGAATGGTATCTATGATTCGTTGATAACATAAATCATTTTTCTGCTCAATATCTTTCCACATTAGAAATTTTACGAGTTTAATATGACAGTAACATAGAAATATCACTCGTAAGATAAAGATTAGCAACAGAACGACAAAGACGGCGCTGACAAAGCCTATTACCAGGGCAAGACGATCATTTAATAGACAAAGGGATCTGAATGCCTAACGTGAAAGGCTTGAACAAATAAGACTGTCATCTAAGAAACGTAGGGATAAAGGAACTGATTAACAAAATGGTTCATTTTATTCGGCAAATAATTTTGTGTAAATGTGCAGATAAATATTTTATTTTTTTATAGCATATTAAAATGACTTAAAATGACTAAATTAAGTTGATTTTTACCTCCCTTCCACTACGGATATATAGTGGAAGGGAGATAAAATATATATATATATAATTAATTATGCAGGAAGTATATAAATAAATACACGTTGATAATCATTATATAGTTTGATTTCCATGTTGTTACGTTCAAAGTATATGACGTTATTGAAAATTGATATAATGGAATATGGGTACACCTGTGTTCTCCCTCACTGGAATATGACTGGCTGGTGTCTGTCATAAATACCGACGGACGTGTAGGAGAGTCAAGAGCCTTAGTCTGTGAGCTAAGTCTATAACGACGCCCATTGGACTACGCCATTGATCTACACTTCTTACCTGCGACTACGACGCGTACCAGTCGATTATTTCTACCGTATTCTACTTGGTTATAGTAGCCAAAACTACTTAGCTACTTCGTTCAAATATATCCCTTTCCAGGACATATAAACAATAATGAAATAGGCTCTGACTATATTTAAACTAGCTGTCATATTGGAGTCTATCTGATATGCTCGTCACCTCTGTTTATTTGGCTTTGCACCAAATGATGCCTTTTCAGTAGCAAATAATTCTTTTTACGAGAACGGGTTGTTAGACCGATGACCTTCTTTCTTGAATACCGCTTTATTGGACGACTTTGGACATCCTACCGACAGAATGCATGGTCACCCGTTAAAGGGATGAGGCCAAAATGAGATTTTCAGGTGTGGAAATTTAAATATCTGGGAAGTATTTTGACAGAGAACGACAAGTGTGACACTGAGATCTGCAGACGTATTGGGATGGCCAAGGACGCATTTTAAAAACTGCGAGATAGGAGGATCTCTTTGGTAAAAAAGAAAAGAGTACTGAGCTGTTACGTGACATCTGTCTTTCTTTACGGTCTCCTTAATGACGAAGAAGAGACTCGAGGCGACGGAGAAATGGTTCTACAGAAAGAAGCTGAGGATATCATGGACCGAGCATTTGAGCAACGACGAGAGCTTAGAGAGGATGCAGACAAGGAGGAGGCTTATACTTAACACCAGGAAGAGGCAGCTGAAGTTTCTGGGACACGTAATGAGGAATGAGGGCCTGGAGAATCTGATACTCGCAGATCGAATAGAAGGAGAGACAAGGGAAAGCAACACATGGCAAATCTGGCGGGCTTGAGCAAGTGGATGGCAGAACATGGTCTGGGGGAGGTGGCAGACGGACGAAACTTATTGAGAGATAGGAGGAAGTGGAGAGCTGTGATCGCCTATGCCCTGCAAGGACACGGCACATAAACTGATTTATCCACGTAAGTGAACCACTGTTCGCGTAAATAACATGAGGAACGTGCATGTTTTTTTTCGAAGGTGTCAGTGCGATATGAACAAATAATGCAGATGGACATTGAATTTCAAACCA